TATTTATCAACTTCCCACATCTGAGTGAAGAGCAACATGACAGCATCATCTTTCTTAGCCTGCACCCTGCCAGTTCTGTCCCAATTCCTTTCACTGAGGCATTCATCAGGGTAAGGAAAATTATTAAAACATTTCACATACATAACCAGTATCCAGAGCCCAGAGAACGGTCCAACAGGGATCAGGCTGATGTTTGTGTTATAGTGCCAACTTCCCACATCTGAGTGAAGAGCAACATGACAGCATCATCTTTCTTAGCCTGCACCCTGCCAGTTCTGTCCCAATTCCTTTCACTGAGGCATTCATCAGGGTAAGGAAAATTATTAAAACATTTCACATACATAACCAGTATCCAGAGCCCAGAGAACGGTCCAACAGGGATCAGGCTGATGTTTGTGTTATAGTGCTGCTGAGGAGAGAGGAGCAGTGCAGGCAGCCTGCACAGCTATTTGGAGGAACAGATGTGCCACATTGTCCTTCCCCTTCCAGCAACATCCAGCAGGTTTGCAGAGAGGGAGCTAGCACAGCTGTCTTCTATGGCAAATAGGGAAGCAGGAACCTCAAATACAAGCCAAAGTAGCTGTCCTCCACTCTGGCTGAAAACCTATCCCCAACACTCCTGAAAAGGACAAGTGGACTTCTCACTGGCACCTCAGCAGCAAAAAAAGCCCCAAACAACTCTCATCCTTTGTATCTACTCCTGGTTATTCAGTTGTCTCACAAACAGAAGTTGCTCACATAATGACACAGGCAGAACACAAAAAGCAACTGCATTTTGAGATAACAGTGTTGGAGGATAACAGTTCTCAGAGTGGTTTGGAGAATTTAGATTAATTTTCTTCCCCTCGATTTTAAACTGCGTCTTCAGGTGGCTTCAAAAAGTGCTTCAAAAAGTTTCAACATGAATTGAGAGCTTTTAATGGAAAAAGTCCATATTTGCTAACTAGACTTGCTTCATGTGCTGATACATAAACACACGGTTGTCAAGCTACATTTGCCCCGGCAAAGGTGAACTTCAAATTTCTAGCGCTGTGTATATTTCAATTCTTGACCACAGTTTAACATTAGTGTATTTTTTGTTACTTTTTAAAACACTGAAGTGATTAATGATAGTGAAAGAAACACATTGTGTGTTTACTTTGATGTGTTTCACATGAACTTGTTAAAATATACACACTAAATATGAGTTTCAAGATTTGAAACAAAAAGCAAAACAGCAAAAAAACCCAAAGGAACTTTTAGCGCTCACTTGCTCTGCTTTCTTCATGCATAGATTTATGAACACTGGGAATGAGTCCAGCTGAGCCCTAAGTTGCATCTTGTATGATGTGAGCAATTATACAGACTAATTTGCTGTTTTTAATGAAGCTCACATTTTTATCGTGTTGATATGTTCTTTTCCTAACCTTCTAGTAACACACCGAATTTATCCATCTCTGCTAAGCCTGGGAGACATCTGTACGTGTCTCAATGGAACAACCCAAGGGATACACTGTCCCTTCTCTTTATGAATCCTCTGCCTTTCTTTTAACCTTCAGTTTCCTCAAAACATAGACAATACCCGTCTCCATTTCCAGGGTCATCTGAAACATTTTTGTTGCAGATTGGCTTTACTATATGTCAGGTTGGCAGATTAAAACAAGAGGCAACTGGGAGAATGCCTGCTTGGAAAACTGGATACAATATTAACATGGCCTTAAGGGCAAAGAAGGCCCCATTTATCTGAATTTAAACACTTCAGGACTGGGAAAGTGCTGAGCAAGGGATTTTTGACATTAGGTGTCCAAACCTAGCTTGTGTGTGTTCTGGCCTTTAGCCAGGAAAGGTAGCATTACATTTATCAGCCCTTGTATTTCAAGCAAGGATCTCTTATAGCTAAATAAATACAGACTTTAAAAGCAGTACTGTAGCTATTTTCTAGCAAAACTAAGAGTTAAACTGGGTCTTTTTTTTTTTTAAAGTTCACATGCAGATAAAAAATTATCTTACAGAAAATAAACAAATAAAAGGGACATTACAGGAAGAGCTTATTTGTTAAATCCTAAAGGACAAAATCAGATGATTGCCACTACACTTATTACAACAGTTCCCATGGCTCTGCCCTGAGAAACTTGTTCATCTACAAGAATAACAACGAGAGAGGTAAGACCTTTCTCCCTGAACAGCATACTTTCTACCAACAGCTGCAGGTGACACGCAGTCAGTACAGGTCAGCTTACTAATATGTGCCAGTACAGCATGCCTTTCTCCTAGGACAACATACACTACAAGAATGTAAAAAACTGACACAAAGGTACAGAGGGGTTCAATTAATCCAGTCCCAAGGAGGCATCTCAATCAGCAAGCCAGCCTTTAAATTGCCTGGGAAGACAGGCGACAGACACTTCCAGGAGGTGGCTGAAAGCACCTAAAGCCTAATTCCACCTGTATCATCCCCTGCGAGTGTACACCTCTGTGTCCATTGAGCTTGCAGACACCTCTGGCAACACAGTAGGAATCCGGATGCAGTACCACTAGAGCTGTACCAGAGGAGGGAGTTCTGGGGTAAGCACAATGCAGAACAATTAAATTGCAACACTGGACCAGTAAGTGTGCCTACTTTGCTCAAGTTCCGGTCTACTGTTCTTCCACTATTAACCAAATCACACGAAGTCCATCTAAAAATGTGGATGATACATCCACTAGTCTGGAGTCTATAGAAAGGTCCTCAGAATCCTGAAGCTGAGTGAAAGAGACTACAGAAGCTTAAATGAAGCTTACTATTACAGAAAAGGAGAAAATCCTATTGTATTTCATGGAGGTCAGACACACAACCAGGCAAATTCTATAAAATATATAAACAGAACAAAGAGAAAACGAACCAGCTGTTAAAGGATTTCTGGCAATAATTTCTTTCACAATGGATAGATAGACATGAGGCACTAATGAATCTGGCCATCAAAAAAAAAGTGAGTTAACTGGTACAGCAACATGAATAAATTGAAAAACAACAGAAAACTCCCACTAAGATCTGCGAAACTGTAATGGATGATGCAAGGTCTATTCACTTTTTTCAAAAAACAAAAAAAAATCTTATAGAATACTATCTATAACAGACTAATATCAAGTTATATGGAATTCCCATGCAAAAAGCTGCCAGCCAAGCAAGCAAAAAGGCTGTAAATATCTGTCAATTGCGTAAGAGGAAAAAACCCTCTGAGAGCAGAAATTTCCCAACCACCATCACCCTGCAAAAAACAGGATTATTTAAAAGTCTGGAAATATAAAGTTAAGATTTCATTTAAAAACAGATATTAAACCATACGTCACCTACACAAGTCTTTTCCATTCCCTTCTTAACTTCTAACTATGCATGAAAGGTGTGTCAGATGGAGACATTATGATGGAGCCCATTAAACAGACATTTTATAGAAGACTTTAAACTATGTAGCCTAAGGGTACAGATAGGTTAGATCTAATAAGAATTTTTAGAATCTCAACCTTGAAGTAAATGGCTTTAATTCAGTGCCTGTGTCCTTTGTTATGCAGCATGCCCTGGAAAAAGCTCAGTAAAAATTAATTAATAAATCCAGTACTTCGCATCACTCAAACTTCTGGCAATTTTTGTAAGTTACAAGGTAATTAACTATAAGCATAATAAATGAATTCAGGTATGCACGGACTGAGGGTACAGTTTCATGAATGGCTACAAAGGACCAAAAATCATATGCAATTGAAAAGTTCGATCCTGGGATCCCCAAGTCTGCTCCCTCCTTGTTGCACATCTCTGCTGCTTTTTTCCACCAAAACTAGCAATCTTGTGTCCCCACAGCAAGTTGGCTCAGTTCACTGATCCAGCTGAGGAATAACCAGTCACAATGAAGTATTAATTTACACCCAGATCAGCAAGTTACTCTTACTTACCATATGGTTACATGATCGCCAGCACAAGGGACAGAACCCATGGCAGGAATGAACATCATATCATAGAATCCTAGAATTTTAGGGGTTGGAATGGACCTTACAGATCACCTAGTCCCACCCCCCTGCCATGGGCAGGGACACCTCCCACTAGACCAGGTTGCTCAAGCCTTCATTCAACCTGGCTTTGAACACTGCCAGGGTTGATGCATCCAATACTTCCCTGGACACCCTGTTCCTCTGTCTCACCACCCTCACAGTAAAAA